AAAATCCAACATCTCCCCCTCGTCTTGAACAACTCCATATTCGCTCAAGAACAGCATTAATCCAGAATGCCAGGACCCAGAAACCTCCGGCTTCCTCGTGATGAACTTCGGGGGGCCCTTGGAGGAACTTGGCCAGGTACGTATGGCGCTCAGACTGCGTCTCGAGAACGTCGACTTGACGCCAATTTTTTAGCAACAGACACTGGCCCATCGCCAGGCATATATTTAATGGGCTTCAACATCGGGACCCACTGGGGTGTCGGAATTCGTCTTTGGAGCCGGTGCAAAGCAGGTCACATTGACGGGTGTCGAACAGTCCCTTCTCCTAAAGGTTACCCCAACGACGATACATTTAAGTTAGCTCCGACTGCGCCCGCAACGCGTCCCCCGAATCGACGCTGTCCGCCAAGCTCTGGGCCTCGCGCTCTCAATGTTGCTACTCGTCCGATGGTCTCCTCGCGGCTCTGATTGCCGGCTGAACTGGGATGGGCGGCGGATTCCTGAAAAATAAGAGCACACGAGGCTAGCCAACATACGAACCGACGGTAGCGACGACGGGATCATGTGGGAAAACGCACGAAGTGAGATCAACGTTCGCTTCCTTTCAAACCGTTTGTCTATCCTCCCAGACATCACAACATAGTTATATTGTTTCACACCAGCCGTCCCAGAAGAAGTCCCTTGGCCGTTTCCAGAAAACACAGCTTGCACGTGGAAACGACCAGGGGTCCTAGACCTGACCAGGGTGTCGGGGATCATGTTGAAGTCACCCCCGATGATCGAAAGCAAACCTACACGTCGGACGAAAGCACAGACCTTGCATAACATTTCGAACTTAGAACCTGGGAAGTCCTGATCATGGTGCAGGTGGACACTGCACACGCTGATGTAGCAGGACTCCCTGGGATGGGGGACGATGGCACCGATGGCTCGGGACTGCTGGATGATGTCGACCAGGCTTGGTGCGCGTATCTCCACCCAATCACGAAGGAAGATGACCACGCCTGCTGACGAAGCGTCAGCCTCGTCTGAATAACAGGGGGCTAAAATTGCGTGTCAATTTTTCTTGCGAGCCCAGTCCACTGCCCCTGAAATTAGCCTCGGATGAATTATCGTAGCAGCTGGCAGAGGAAATAACCACTTGAACGAAGCCTAGCTCGATACATTGACCGTCTCAATTGCCACAGGGTGAGAATCCTGTTTAGGATTTTGCGGGGGGGTTGAACAAACCGGGGCGCTGAACGTTGATGGCTCTCAAACCCTAGGATGGCGCAGTTACACAGCCGAGGAACCCCACATACTTATAAAATGTCTGGCGTGATGATGGCTGACGTGAAACTTGCGAAGATGATGCAGGTGGCCGTTGTTTCGCCGATACCGTTGGTGGCGCCTCTCAAGCCTTGGGAACCTGAGTACCCTGAGGGGGTCCAGGAAGGGCGCGAACCTGGCCAATTGGACCCCGCCAGATGGCTGGGTCTTCCACGTCGCGCAAAGAGTCGATGCGGCGCTCAGAGACCAGCCGCTGTGGTGTCGACGAAGTGCCATGCTTGCCCCGCTTTGCGAGCTCGATAGCGCTCCCACCCCCAGCTCACCCCCTTTGGTGTCGGGATATCGCTCCCACCCACAGCTCACCCCCTCTGGTGTCGAGAAAATGCAACGCTTGCCACGCAGTGCGAGCTCGAAACGGATAGCGCCCCCACCCACAGCGCACCCCTTTGTGGTGTCGAAGAAGTGTCACGCCTGCCACGTTTTGCGCGCCCGAAGCGGATAGCGCTCCCACCCCCAGCGCGCCCCCTCGATGTGTTACGCCTGCCACGCTTTGCGGGCCCAAAACGGATAGCGCTCCCACCTCCAGCGCATCCCTTGTGGTGTCGAGGAAGTGCCACGCCTGCCACGCTTTGCAAACCCGATGCAGATAATGATCCCACCCCCAGCGAACCCCCTGTGGTGTCGAGGAAGTTTCACGCCCGCCACGCTTTGCGAGCTCGAAACGGATAGCGCCCCCACCCCCACCTCAACCCCTGTGGTGTCGAAGAAGTGCCAAGCCTGCCACGCTTTGCGAAACCGGAGCGGCTAGCGCTCCCACCCCCAGCTCGCCCTCTCTGGTGTCGAGAATGTGCCACGCGTGTTACGCATTGCGAGCTCGAAACGGATAGCGCTCCCACCCCCAGCGCGCCCTTGTGTGGTGTCGAGGCAGTGCCACGCCTGCCACGATTTGCGGGCCCGAAGCGGATATCGCTCCTACCCCCAGCGCGCCCCCTGTGGTGTCGAGGAAATGCCACGCCTGCCACGCTTTGCAAACCCGATACACAAATAGCGCTCCCACCCCCAACGCATCCCCTGTGGAGGCGAGGAAGTGCCACGACTGCCACGCTTTGCGAAACCGGAACGGATAGCGCTCCCATCCCCAGCGCACCCCCTGTGGTGCGAAGACGTGCCACGCCAGCCGCGCCTTGCGCGCCCGAAACAGATAGCGCTCCCACCCCCAGCGCGCCCCCAGTGGTGTCGACGAAGTGCCACGCCTGCCACGCTTTGCGAGCCCGAACCGGATATCGCGCCCACCCACAGCTCACCCCCTCTGGTGTCGAGAAAATGCAACGCTTGCCAAGCAGTGCGAGCTCGAAACGGATAGCGCTCCCACCCACAGCGCACCCCCTCTGTTGTCGAGGAAGTGCCACGCCAGCCACGCTTTGCGAGCCCGGAACGGATAGCGCTCCCACCCACAGCGCGCCCCCCGTGGTATCGAGGAAGTGCCACGCCTGCCACGCTCTGCGAGCCCGGAACGGATAGCGCTCCCACCCACAGCGCACCCCTTGTGGTGGTGTCGAAGCAGAGCCACGCCTGCCACGCTCTGCGAGCCCCGAAACGGATAGCGCTCCTACCGCCAGCGAACCCCCTGTGGTATCGAGGAAGTGCCACGCCGGCCACGCTTTGCGAGCTCGAAACGGATAGCGCTCCCACCCCCAGCTCAACCCTCCCTGGTGTCGACGAAGTACCAAGCCTGCAACGTTTTGCGAGCCCGAAACGGATAACGCTCCCACCCCCAGCTCGCCCCCTGTGGTGTCGAGGATGTGCCACGCCTGCCACGCTTTGCGAACCCGATACACAGATAGCGCTCCCACCCCCAGCGCACCCGATCTTGTGTCGACGACGTGCGAAGCCTGCCACGTTTTGCAAGCCCGAAACGGATAGCGCTCCCATCCCCAGCTCACCCCCTGTGGTGTCGAAGAAGTGCCACGCCTGCCACGCTTTGCGAGCCCGAAGCGGATAGCCCTCCCACCGCCAGCACACCCCCTGTGGTGTCGAGAAGTGCCACGCCTGCCACGCTTTGCGAGCCCGGGACGGATAGCAGTCCCAGCCCCAGCGCACCCCCTGTGGTGTCGAGAATGTGCAACGCTTGCCACGCTTTGCGACCCCGCCGTGCGTGTCTTGCATGCGTGTGGTGCGTGTGATGCATCAGGAGGAGGTGTGTATGTCTGTATGCATGCATGCATGCATGCATGCATGCATGCATGCATGCATGTTTGTATGTATGTATGTATGTATGTATGTATGTATGTATGTCTGTGTGTGTATGTATGTATGTATGTATGTATGTATGTATGTATGTATGTATGTATGTATGTATGCATGCATGTATGTATATATATGTAAAATAAATTATGTTTGTTTGTTTGTTTGTATGTACGTATGCATGTCTGTATGTATGCAGTCGTGTGTGTGTGTGTGTGTGTGTGTGTGTGTGTGTGTGTGTGTGTGAGAGCCCGCCGTGCGTGTGTTTCATGCGTCTGGTGTGTGTGTGATGCGTCAGGTGGAGGTGTGCATGTGTGTGGGTGCAGAGGTATTGTGTGTATGTCGACGTTGGAAGAGGAGCGACGAGGAGAGGTAAGGAAGGGTGAAGAGGGGAGGCAGGGATGTGAGACGAAGGTGCGACGCGGCAGGGAAGAAAGCCATAACCCCACGAAACATGTGTGGAACAACACGTACTGGGTGCCAGGCTGGATGTGGAGGTGTGCCTCATGTGGGTGCCCAGCATGTTGTGCATACGACTTGGGTGTATGATGCAGAGAACACGCCAGGCGTGCACTGGCCTTGTATAATGTGTGTGTATGCGAGTGTGTGCATGCGAGGGGCTGTATGTATACGCGTGTCTCATGTACATGTCGTGCATGTGTTGCGCGTGGGTGAGGAAGGAGGAGGAGGGGAGGTGAGTGAGACGCGGGTGCGATGCGGCCACGAAGAACACCATAACCCCACGAAACATGTGTGGAACAAAACTTCGGGGACCCCCCGAGCTACCAAAACCAGAGTTGAGGAGGAGGAGGAGGGGGAGGAGGAGGAAGAGGAGGAGGAGGAGTGAGTGGGAGGAACAAGGAGCAATCGCCGGTGACAGCACTGCGGCAGCGAGTGCAGCGAAGGGAAGGCCAGACGGACCGCCTCAGAGGAGGGCACCCCGCCCGAACAGGCTGCCAGCGAGGCCGTGCGTGGCCCTCCCAGGGTCCCAGTGGCCTGGGAGGGGTGCCGCTGCAAGAGAGGTCGGCGCCCCGTCTGGACGAGCCGTCAAAGTGGCCGTGCACGGCCCCCGGAGGGCCCCTGTGGCCGGGGGGGTCCAGACCCGGGGCGGCATCAAAACTTGCATCCTCCTCCTCCTCCTCCTGCTCCTCCTCCTGCTGCTCCTCCTCCTGCTGCTGCTGCTCCTCCTCCTCCTCCTCCTCCTCCTCCTCTCCTCACGCTCACGCTGCGGACTGTGTCACCACGACGGTTGACGCCCTCGTTCCCCCCCATCTCTCACCTCTGTCAGTGGGGAGGGGGTTGTAAAGTCGGCCGCTTCGACGCTGGCCTGACGGGGGAGGAGGAGAATCGGGGACGACGGAGGATGTGCGGGGAAGATCAATTTACCACCACTTCCTCCTCCTGCTCCTGCTCCTGCTCCTCCTCCTCGTCCACCTACCCCTCCTCGTCCTTCTCATCCTCCTGCCCATGAGTGCCGGCACGGGCGCCTTGTCGATGAGCTTCTCCAGGCGCTCCATGCGGTCGTCCTCGTCCTCTCCGAGGGCGTCGTCCTCCGGCCACTGCGCCAGCGGCGATGTCGAGCCTCCGAAGCGGCGGATCATGTCAACCTTGGCGGCGCGCACAAGGGGGTAGGGGGGGAGGGGGGAAGGCTCCGTGGAAGGAGGCTGCTTCTTAGAAGGTGCCAGCCATACATCTTAGAAGAAACAGGGATGTTTCCAAGAAGCCATCCCCCCTCCCCATGCCCCCCTCTGCGCGTGGCTGACAACCGTGGTGATGTTCGTGCTGGCGGGCTCCAGGACCTGTCCGAGGGAGGAGGAGGAGGCATGGGAAGGGGGGAGGATGGAGAGGGGCAGGAGGACTCCTCCCTCCTCCATTCCTTTCCCATATAAATAACTCCTTCCTATCGCGCCCCGAGGCCGGTCGAAAGGGCGGGCCCGGCGTTTCGCCTGAGACTTCCCACCACTTATGACCCTGAAGCTTAACAATGGGCAACCGTTTCATAGGTGGAGGGCGGGCCGCTTCCAAGATGTGGCTCTCACCTAAGCGCCGCACGCATTCGCTCTCAACGTTTGCAAGAGCTCCACGGATTGAGGGCGGGCCGTTTTCAAAATGTGGCTCTCGCCTAAGCGCCGCGCACATTCGTTGTGAAGCTTTGCGAGAGCTCCACGGATTGAGGGCGAGCCGTTTTCAAGATGTTGCTCTCGCCTCAGCGCCGCGCACATTCGTCTTAAACAATTGCAAGAGCTTCACGGATTGAGGGCGGGCCGTTTTCAAAATGTGGCTCTCTCCTTTGAAAGCGCGCACGCTCTTTTGACAAAATTGCAAGAGATTCGCGGATTGAGGGAGGCTCCTTTTCAAAATGTGGCTTTCGCGTTACCGCCGCGCACATGTGCCTTAAACACTTGTAAGAGTTCACGGGTGGAGGGTGGATCCTTTTTAACGTGTGGCTCTCGCATTAGCGACGCGCACATTCGTTTTCATCATCTTGCCCACGCAAGAATCATGCTGATTCCTGAAGTTGGAGTCCCGAGAAGGGTGTCTTGGCGCGCTTCAGGGTTTTCAAACGATTGTCTACCAACGGGGCACTTCCCTCAGTGGAGATTAATCCCTGAAGGGGCCTATGAAAAATGGAGCTTGGAAGGAAGACATGTTCCAACATCTTTGATGGGTTTTGGGTTTACACCGGTCTTCCTCCTCCTCCTCCTTCCCTTGCAGCGCCTGGATGCCGCCAGCGAGCCCGATGTCGCCCTCGCCGAACTCGCAGCGCTCGTCCAGCCGCAGGGACGCCAAGAACTTCTGCCACCGCAGATCCGACGCGAAGCTCATGGCCTCTCGAAGGCCGAAGACTACCCAAAGGTCCAGCGTATTGAAAAAACAATCCGCACATTTCGCCGTTTTCGGCCTCTGGAGGCCCTCAGCGGGCCCTGGGACCGTCAAAAAACCAGCTCGGGATGAAACGCCAGTCCCGGGGAGTGGGTCGAGGCCTCTGGTCACCCCGTATTGAAAAGATCAGGACGTCGGATCTCTGGGTTCTAATTACCATGGGACCCTTGTTACCCAGCAGCCTTGGGTAACCTTCGGCGGTGTCCTGGCGGTCTTCGACAATTCCTGGCGATCTTCGGCGCGAGAGCTGGACGGCTGCGCTTAACAATGGGTATGTCATCAAACGCCAAGCGAGGACATCGAGGAGGATCGAGCACATCGAGGAGGACCAAAGCTACCGAGCAGCATCGAGGATCATCGAAGAGGATCTTCAGGATCAGCTGCCTCTCGAGGAGGATCAATGAAATTGAGGAGGATCGAGGGCATCGAGGAGGATCGAGGAGACCGAGCAGCACTGAGGATACCGAGGGGATCTTCAGGATCAGGATTTGCTGCTTCCCCGAGGAGGATCGAGGAGGACATACAGGCTTCGAGCGCTTTCGGCCCTTCTTGGGCCTCGGGAGTTCTCCGTAGGCCCCCTGGGCATTTCGAGAGGCCTCCAGTGACCTCCGGATGTATCGCCAATTGATCGGCGGCAGGCTCCCGATAGGGAAAGCCTCACGTTCCTGGGCCTAGTGGGGCACCTCGGCCCCCGACCCAGGCCGGCGATGTATGGGCAATGGTGGTCGATGGCCCCTCCTTGGCCGTCCCTCTCCATCGCCCCCACCGGCAGACTGCCGAGTGGGAAGGGTTCCCCTAGACCCGGTGTTATTTCCTAAACTTTCGGCCTCTCCATGGCTCTGGCCCTGGGGCCATCGAGAACAACCACGGGCGAAGAAGTGGTTTCAGGAAAAGGGGTTCCAAACATCCGGCGCTCCGATCTTAGCCCATGCGTAGAATAACCGTTTGACGGCCCTGAGGCCCGAAACCGGCCTCTAGAGGCCAGACGCAGAAACCTCGATGTCATGATTTTGAAGGTCGACCCCCGCAAATCGCGACCCATTCCCTGGGACCGGCTTTTCATCCTGAGTTGTTTCTGGACGGTCCCGAGGCCTGGCGAGGGCCCATACAGGCAGACATCAGCAAGCACGAAACAACTCCGCAATGTTTTGGTGTTGAACTCTTACTTGAGAAGAAAAATTATTGTTGACCCCCCCTGCCCGGTGCACAATGTTTTTTTCAATTAAGGTGCTCCTCCCGGGGCTCGCACCCGGTATTTTATTAGGGAGCTGTGCTGTTAGCCCCTGGTTTACAACAGCAGCGGCTCCCGCCTGATACTTCCTCAAGATGTATTTCAAAGTCGCGCTATCGCGCGAGGTTCCCGCATAATCTATGCATGAATCGTGCTCTCGCGTGGTACTTCCTCATGGCTTATTGCGGCGCCGTGCCCCCCCCCCCAGATTCAGGAATCATGCTCTCGCTTGGGATACACTCACGATTTACTTGGGCATCGCGCTATCGCTTGAAACTTTTTTGCGATTCATGTTGGATTGATGCTTCAGCGACCCGCCCGCTCGACCTGGCCGTCTGGGCCAGCACCCCCGACCTGCCCGTGAGGGCCCGCCCGCCCGACCCGCCCGTCTGGTTCTGCCGCCTGCGCTCCTGCTCATAACCCTCCTCCTGCAAATCTCTCTCGTGCTCGATCCTTCTCTCTCTCTCCCCCTTTGTCCCTTCCCTCATCCCTTCCTTCTCTGTTTTAGTGGCTGCGCCAATTACACGCGGCAGCAAGGAAGGTATACACCCAAGAGGGATACGATCGAAGACGAAGAGGGCAGGTATCCATGGTTTGGGATGTACGTGTTGAATGGCACGCGAGCAGATAAAGGGGCGCACAGTCTTAACATGGTTGTCGTTGTCGTCGTCGTCGTCGTTGTTGTTGCCGTAGTATAGGTTGTTGTGGTTGTTGTTATTGTTGTTGTTATTGTTGTTGTAGTTGTTGTTGTTTGTTGTTGTTGTTGTTGTTCATGTGGTTGTGGTTGATGTTATTGTTGCCGATGTCGGTGCTGTTATAGTGGTCGTTGTTGTTGCTGTTGTTGTTGGTGTTGTTGTTGGTGTTGTTGTTGTTGAATATTATTACTTCTAAAGAATAATTATTGTTGGGCCCCCTGGTGCACGCCCCCCCCGCCGCGCCTAGGCCGCAGCCACATTTTCATCATTTTCGTGAGGAAGTCTCAGGCAAAACGGGTTGGTCCAGATCCGGTTGTGTTGTTACGATCGGTTTTCCCTTGCAAAAAATAAGGCAAAGTGGACATTTCTTGTTCTAACATGACCAAACTTCAAGAATCCCTTGCAAAAAATGACACGAAGTGCACATTCGCGCGCGCAAGACGAAATCCTTCCAAAACCTTAGTCTTTGCAGCGATTTTCACATACAAACATGAAAAACCCAATGGTTTTTCAAAAAAGGGTTTCAAACATTCACCCCGCGCGCTCTTGCGGATTCTTAGGAAACCCAATACTTGTTCAACATTTCTGTCAAACGGGCTTTTGCGAGCAACTTTTTCGAACTTCTGCAACAACGGTTGCGCACCTGCCAGGGCCATCATCCCTGTCAAATACTACCATGCGGGACACATTCGTTTTTTCTTCGCGCGCGCACGCCGTCGTCGTCGGCCGCGGGGCCCTGAATAGTAGCCACGGTCGTCCGCATGCCACGAAGTGAAGTGTCCGAACGTCATAGGGCGGGAAGCTGGGTGTGGGTGGTGGCGAAGAGTCGTTTGGAAATTTGGTAGAGCTTGAACCGGCCCCCCCACAAAGTGGGGGTATTGCCCGCCTCCTATGAAAAACCCTGGCACTGGTGAGAACGGAGTGTCCCCACGTGCTAGTAATTGTTGTCGTTGTTGTTGTTGTTGTTGTTGTTGTTGAGATTGCAAGTTTTCATCATTCTTGTTGATCCCCCTGCCCGTTTACAATTGTGTTTTTGGATTTAAATGCCCTCAAGGGCCCGCAACTTGTTGTCAAGGGAAAAGTGTGGGGTCACCAAACTGTACCCGGGGCCCCCCAGTTTACAACAACAGCGGTTCACGCCCGATACTTCCTTACAATTAACTGACACATCGCGCTCTCGCGGGGGACTTCTCCACAGTTCGTGCAGGAATCGCGCTCTCGCGTGGGACTTCCTCGCAATGTATGCAAAGGCCGCGCCCTCGACGGTCAGGAATCCCACTCTCGCTCAGTCTTTTTCTGTTGCGATTCACTTGGGAATCGCGCTATCGCTTGTGACATCCTCGCGATTCATGCAGTACCCACGCTTCAACAACCCGCCTGCTCGACGTGGCCGCTTTGGCCCGCCATTCCGACCCGCTCGTTGGGGTTTACCCGCCCAATCAGCCCGCTTGGTTCTGCCACGTGTTTTCTGCTCCTAGACCCCCAGCTGCGAATCCCGTGTTCCATCCTTCTCCACCTTCCATCCGTCTTCTCTTCCCTGTTTTTCGGGCTGCACCATTCACGTGCGGCAGATGAAGAAGATGTGCCCCCAAGGGGGCGGGTATCCAAGGTTTGGGATGTACGTGCCGAATGGAACTCGAGCAGGGAAGAGCGAACAGTCAGAATATTCTTGTCGTTGTTGTTGTTGTTGCTGTTGTTGCTGTCGTCGTTGTTGTGGTTGTGGTTGTGGTTGTTGGTGCTGTTGTTGCTGTTGTTGTTTTTGTTGTTGTTGTCGGTGTCGTGGTTGTTGTTGTTGTTGCAGTTGCTGTTGTTGTTTTTGTTGTTGTTGTTGTGGTTGTTGTTTTCTGTGTTGCTTTCATTTCGGGATTTCGGGAAAACATGTATTGCTGATCCCCCTCCGGGGCACATGTCTGTTTTTCAATTGAAATGCCCTCCCCGGGGCTCGCACCGGGTCTTTTGTGAAACAAATCCTTGGGCCTCAGAATTATTATGTTGGCTCCCGGTTTGCAGCAACAGCGGCTCCCCCTTGATACTTCCTCACAATGTATTATCTAATCGCGCCCTCGCCCTGGATTTCCTCGTAATGTATTCCGACGTCGCGCCCTCGACACTCAGGAATCACGCTCTCGCTCTGCATTCCTTCCTTCGCGATTTATTTGGGAATCGCGCTGTCGCTTGAGACTTCCTCGCGTTTCATGCAGGGCGCACGCTTCAGCAACCCGCCTGCTCGACCTGGCCGCTTGGGCCCGCCTTCCCGACCCGCCCGTTGGGGTGCATCCGCCCGATCTGCCCGTCTGGTTCTGCCACATGTTTTCTGTTCCCGGCCCCCTCCTGCTACTCTCTCTCGTGCTCCATCCTCCTCCTTTTCCCTTGTCCCTTCATTCCATCCGTCCTCTGTCTTCCCCTGCCCCAGGGGCTGCGAGAAATACAGGTTGCAGGTAAGAAAAATATATACCTCCAAGGGGCGTACGGTCGAAGACGAAGAGGGCGGGTATCGAGGGTTTGTGATATACGTGTTGCTGGCACGCGAACAGATAAGAACAAACAGTCTTACAATGATTGTTGTTGTTGTCTCGCGGCGCGAGGGGGTCTGGGAACATCGCTACACATCGGTGCCGCCTTGACTTTTCCAAGGCGCCAGGCGTCTTGGGGTCGAGCGCTCTGAGGGCCGCAAGATGCGCACGTGGGCGCATGGCTGGACGAAAAGTGTACTTGCGTAGCTCGCTGCGTCCTTGGCGTCGGAATTCCAACTGTAGTAAACAAACAATGACGCAATCATGAAGTCAAGGTTTCGCGTGGATTCCGCGGATCGGCGCTGGGGCCCCCCAGCGCCGGCGCCGCCCCTGGCGCGCCGCGCGCCCAGGAGGGTCCACCGCCAATCCGAGAAACCCGCGCGGACCTCCGACAAATTATGTTTATGTCGTTGCGTGTTCCCCGTCTAATGGCCCACGGGTCTTTTTTGTCAGCGGCGGCTTCGGTCCAAGACGCGGTCGGGGCAGCCGAGGGACGCTTCGGGGCCTAACTAGGCACAGCAGGAGAAGAACAGGCGCAGAGGGGTGGAGGAAACGCTCAGATCAGGAAGATCTTGTACGTGTGTTTTGCAACACAGGCTTACCTAAGCAGCAGTTCGACTCACGGGTCATGCGTTTCACACAAGAGCTGGTAGGGACTGCCAAATGTTGCTTGTTATGGGAAGGGGTCCGTCGCCCGCAGCTTGCCTTTCATAGCTAGGCCGCGCGAGCGCGCGCGCCGAGGGGTGCTCTTGCGCTTGCTTGGCGGGATGGCGACGTCGGCAGAGGTTGGCCAGGCCTCTGATTCCCGACGACGGGGTTTTCCGGACAGGTTCCGACCGCCCCTTTCCCCCGCGGAGGGTGGAATGATCGGAATGCTCAAGAGAAAAAACTGTGATGGAAGGGGGGGAGGAGGGATTGGGAAACAATGCGCTGTGCAGTCGAGGCCTTGACCTAAGGAACCCTGAATAAGGAACGAGGCCCCTTTGTCCCGTAAGTTAAACTTTGATTTCGCATGGAAAACCTTAGGACCCCCCAAGGCAAACTGCAAAACAATCAAGGAACACCGAACCCCTCCCCAACGAAAAGGGTTCCTTCTTCAGGGCCCCGACTGTGTGCGCGTGGACTGTTGGTGGTCCGCACGGGTTTTCTGGATCGCTGCTGGGCCCCCTTCCTCCGCGCGCGCAGCGCGCCAGGAGAGGCGCGGGAGATGCCGCCAGGGGGGCTCAGCGCCGATCGAAGAGATCCTCGCGGCCATTCGAAGGTTCAAGTGTACAGTCAGAGCGTTGACCCAAGGAACCTGACATAAGGAACGAGGCCCCTTAGATCCACAAGTTGGACTTCGATTTCCCATCGAAAACAGACGGAACACCTGAGGCAAGCTGTAAAACACTTAAGGAACGCGGAGCCCCTCCCCAACCAAAAGGGTTCCTTCTTCAGGGCCCCGACTGTAGGTGATCTGCTGTTCTTCGAGCTGAGGAAAAGGGGTGGGCTGCGCGGGGTGGGTGGGGGGAAAGGGCCAAACTTTCTCTTCCTTCGTCGGCTCCGAGGCAGAGGCAGTCCGCTCCAGCGTGTGGCTACTCGGGGCAACCGGCAGGCGAATTGTCCGGCGTGCACGGAGGGCCCAGACCCCCGACGTCATGATTTTGTTCATAACGTCGACCCCCCGGGGTCCCGACCCATTCCCCGGAACCGGTTCTGAGTCGTTTTTCGGCGGTCCCGAAGGCAGGCAAGGGCCCCCAGATGCCGGAAATGGTGGGGAACCTCCGTCAAGATTGTTTCACTACTCGAGAGGGGGTCTGGGGGGGGGAGAAGACGAGGGTGGCCGCGCGGGGGGAGGGGGGAGGGGAAAGCGCCCAGACGTGGAAGTGTTCCACGTGGAGGAGGAGGATCGCCCCGCCGAGGGAGCGCGGTCGTGGCAATGACACGCCGCGGCCCGTTGGACCGAGCCTGCGCTGCTGGGCTCCCCCGCTTGACTACGCGGGTCTGGAGGGGACGAATGGGGTCCCCATTGGGCCAACTCTTGGACCCATGGTTGGGGGGTTGGCAGTTCCGAATTCTTCGAATTGCCTTCCTGCCACTGGCCGTCGCAATTCCCCCAGGGCACGGGGCAGGGAGCTGGTTAAGCGTGCTCCCTCCCGTGGCCGTGCAGCTCCCCAGCCGAGCGCACGAACTACACCAGAGCTGACCATTCATCACAAAAAGCGAATGGCTCTGGTGGGGGCTCTTTCCCCCCACCTTAAGCCGGGGGAGAAGACTCACGGGGATGGGAGTGGCAACGTTATAACCTGAGACAAAAACTCTCCCCCTACAAGGATTGTTCATCATCCAATCCTCGACCGACTGTCGGGTGGGGCCTTAACTACAGTGGCAACAGTACCAGCGTTTCTTGTCCTTGGGGTGCCGCTGCATACAGTGGCCCGACACACGTTCGAGCGCCTCGCGAGGGGTGGCAATCTTCGCTCCTCCTCGCGCGGGGACAAGTCGCTGGTGTTCTACACGGGGCAGGGAGAAGATTTCCACTCCGAGGGCCGCGAGCATCTTCTGGACTCTCTGCAGGAAGCTTTCATACCCTTGGAGGCAATCCAACTGAGGCTGAACATAATTCATGGCCTTGGCCAAGCCTCTCTGGGCCAGGGCGTCGGCGCGTTCTTGTCCTAGTGAGACATGCCAGGGCTGGGGGCTCATCGCGAAGCTCACCGCATCGAGGTGCGAGTTGTACTTCTTCAAGGTCACGCGCGCAATCCTGTCAGTTCTCTGGATTATGTCCTACTTGATTCGCTGCCACCATTGCATATGGGGGCCCCTTGGATACAGTCAGTGATGTGCATGCCACCCACGGTGTACTAGCGCGTTGTCTATCCATATCTCCACGGGGCCTTGAGTGAGGAGGAGGCAGTCGTACAGGGCCGCTAACTCCGCGCACGGGGCCGTCTGGGCTCCATCGATGGCTCCGAACCCACCTGGGTAGCTGTCGGGGGCTGGCATTTCGTCGAAATCCAGGGCGACAGCCCATGCCCCCCGAGCGATCCGAGCGTCTGCCGAGTTGACCGAGCCGCCAAGATAAGCCCTAGAAGCCCTCGGGGTCTCGCCCGAGATGCCGGTGCACTCCTCGACGCTTGGCGTCGGGCCTGGGATGTCGACGAAATAGATTTCCATTGGAGAATTCCACAGAGGTCCTGGAGGGACTTCATTGAGGCTGGACGGTAGGATTCCAAGGCACCAGAAAGCAAACATATCGGGCTCCTCGTCCATGGTGAGCTGGGCACTGTCAACCAGGTCCTGGGATCGGAGGATCCAAGGGCGTTCGCTTTCCTTGTTTTTTTTTCGCACAACCATAGCATCGATGCCGCAGGTCTTCTGCGGCCAGTCCACAGCGCGGGCAAAAGGCCTGTTCTGTCGCATCCCGCGAGCATGGCGCGCTGCTCCGTCCAGCAGCTGCCCGTCAGGAAGGTCTCGAGGGCGCCCGCTTCTTTGAAAAAGGGTGTTCCGTCGCATCCATCGTAGTGTTCTGTGGGCTGAATATAACTGGCCACCGTGTTCGCAGCCTTGGCCTTCAGGATGGATTCCTGCTTGCTTCCAGAGGCCGGCTTGGCCCTGTCCGTTGACCATGTCGTAAGGACCGTTGAAGTCCGTGTCGTCTGGGCTGTAAATCCAGTCGTGCCTGCTGGGGTCCGTCCACAAATCTGGCTGCCGCAGATCCCACTGTAGTTCCCCAAGACCAACAATGAGGGCTCCCATAGGACCTGTTACTGATCTCCACTTGGACCTGGCTCGCTTCGTCTTCATCTTCATGTGGAGTGCTTCCCATCCAAGGCGTGCGCGTGCCTGGTGCTGCGGGTTCTGGCCCCAGCAGGTGAACCAGTCTTTGACTTGGCGGCGTAGGTTGTGGGCGACTAGGTCTTGCGCTCCATAGACGTGAAGCAGAATGGTGGACGCGCGTCTTCCTTGAACCGTGAAGCCCGACAGCGTGGCCGGCGTAGCCCTGTCGACTTTGGTCCTGCTTCCAGGCAGGCCCCTGACCGCAGCGTCGTGCATGCGCTTGGCACGAAAGTTGGTGTTGTAGAGGCGCGCAGTGGCTCGACGTCCCACTCCGCGTCGCTGGAATAGTCGTGTCCGTTGAAATCGCCGCGCTGTGGCTTTGGCTCGCTTAGCTGCGGTCGGTGTACGTCGTTGGCGCCCCGCTGTCGCATCGAAGCCCAGGTCGCTCGCTGTGGTAACCGCCTTGATGGAGACCCCGTGCTGGCCGATCGCGCGTATGATCGCCTGCTGGATGTCCGCGGGGCCGACTATCGAGGTCTTCTCAGAGACTTTGAGGCCCGGGTCATGGATTCCTTGAACCAGAGCGGCAGCACCTCGGCTTATCTGATGCTTGACCAAAGAAGGGTGGCCTTCCGCTCGGATCATGAGGTCAGCGGCGAACTCGCGCATCAGGATGCCCGCGTATCGGAGGTGTACGTGGTCCAGCAGGTCGTAGAGGTAGGCTATCGCCATGTTGTTGGCTTCGGTGCAGCCTGCAAGGGGCCCGTTGCGTGGCGCGATCATCGTGGAGCTGTAGACGCCCCTGGCTCTGATCATCCTCGGGCGGAGGTAGGGTAGGCAAGACATGTAGAGCACGACGGGTGAGCAGTCCAGCTGGGCCGCAAGTCTGCACAAGGTGGCGATGTTAACGTGGTCGTAGAACTTCATGGTGTCCAGATTGAGGGTGGTGACGCTGGCGTAGCCCCTCACAGCCGAGACCTCATCTAGGACGAGTGTGCACAAGGCCGCTTGCAAGGCTGATGAACCCTTGATGGCTGCGTCCCAGAAGCCTGCTTTCTCCTCGCACCACTGTCCCAGCATGTGCTTGTTCATGCGGCCCCAGACGCGCGTTGGCATTGGTAGGAGGCCGATGGGGCGCTCGTCTCCTGCTGCGATGGCATCGCCGTTGGCCAGGAGGCACATCCAGATCTGCATGAACTGGTGGGGCCAGGCGAGGTTGGTGATGCAGGCGTTGATGAAGTCGGTGAATTCTTGTTGGGCCTCTTGGCTGGTGGCTTCCAGTGCCCCTCGCGTCTACTGGTCAGTGGATTGCGCTGTGGTGCGCGGGATCGCACGGAGGGCTGCCTGCATGTCCTCGATGGTGTAGGGCTCCCAATCGTGGTCCAGCTGTTGTTGGGCCTTGGTGCGCAGCTCGCGCATGCTGTCGTAGAGGCCGCTACCTGCTGAGTGGGTTGTCCAACGGTCGTGCCACATTGCTGCTCTGGTGTCGGCGCTGGTTTGCGGGTCACTGGTCGCGCTGTGATGGTGGGTCACCGTGTCGTGCAGGTCTCTGCGCTCATCCTTGGAGATGCAGCGGTGTTACTGCGCCCATTTGCGCACTGCCAGGAGGGATGCCGGCCAGGTAGCCTTCGAGTGCTCGTCGGCGATGGCGCGTGATCGGTCGAGCAGGCTGTGGGCGTCGTCGAAGGTTGGTAGTTGGTGCTGGTATCGGATATCGTGCAGTGCCTGGCTGAGCTCGTCTTGGAAGGTCTGCTCAGCCTCTGCTGTGTGAGTGGTGACTCGTGCTCGCATTCGTTGTACCGTGCCCGTTAGGTTCTCGAGGAGTTGGTGGTGGCGTTGGCCTACAGGGCCTTGGGTGGGCTCAATTGCATCTTGGGCCTGGTCATCGTGCAGGAGTTGGACTGGTTAGGATGGTGGTTTAGGATCAGGTAGGTCCACTGGTGGTTCCTGGTCGAGCTGCTCAACATCACCTCCGTGGTCCACTGGATCCTCGTCGAAGTCTAGGAGAGGGGTCTGCATCATTGTCGTCCATGGTGTTCATGCGCTGGGGCTCGATGTCATACTTCGAACTCCTGTCAGCGCTATGATTGTCTCTGTCGCTGGTCTGCACATCATCATATCCAACAAAACGGCGACGAACATCTCCGATTCTAGGGCCAGTTACAACACGAACCAAGGCCCCTACGGCCCCAATGGCACTGCCCGATGCCGATCCCTCAGAGTGGAGACCCCCCGTTCTGACATCATATCAAGCAAATCGGTGAAGAATATCTCCGATTCGAGGGTCGGTTACAACAAGAACCAAGGCCCCTACGGCCCCAATGGCACTGCGAGGCGCCGATCTCTCAGGGTGGAGATCTCCCGTTCTGACACCATACCCAGCAAAATGGCGACGAATCTCTCCGATTCGAGGGTCGGTTACAACAGGAACCAAGGCCCCTACGGCCCCGATGGCACTGTCCGACGCCGATCCCTCAGGGTGGAGATCCCCCGTGCTGACAATTTCGAGGCTGCGTCCGAGGCCACGCGCACTCGCCGAGGAGGGTGTTAGCGTCTGGCTTCTCGCAGTCGCTACCTGGGATGCTGTTGACGGTGTCTGGCTCTGCCGAGGGGTACTCTGCCATGGCGTGGCCAATGGAGTAGAAGGAGTTGCCGAAATTGACGAGGAGGGGCTTTCCATCTGCGAGCTAGGCGCCCCAGTCACGGCGTCATTGATGGAGTCGTGGCTGCTGAAGGAAGCGGGCTTTGTGAAATCCATCGGCATCCTCCAGTGATTTGCCACCAGGAGAGGCTGCGTGGGGTTCCCCCCCGTGTGAGCCTGCCTCCAGTGGCGCTCTGCATGACAGAACTCCTACCACGTGCTGCGTTCCTGGTGGCATCTCGGCCTTCTCTGGATGGGTGAGCGTGCTGCCCGAGGTGCCCGATGCTCTGCTGAGGAGGAGGAGGACCAAGAGGAGGAGGAGAAGGAGGAAGAGGAGGAGGAGGAGGAGGAGGAGGAGGAGGAGGAGGGGGGGGAGGAGGTCATATCCAGATGTGTTCGAATATCTGTTCGCGCCTTGTTGACCCTCTGTGGGCGCCCTCGTCGCCGCGGCTGGATCCGCCTCGCAACCCTGGTCAGAACACGCTCCAGGAGAGGAACTCAGGTCGTCATTGTTTTGGAAGGGAAGGAGGAGCGGGAGCAAGACGATGACGATGAGGACGAGCAAGAGGAGGGGTAGAAGGAACAAGCGGAGGAACGAATGGAAGGGAGGAGCGACGGGGAGGAGAAGGGGGGGGGGCAGGAGTAAGGGGAAGGGGGGGGGAGAACTACCAGGAGAATGTAGGAGGATGGGAACGCAGCTGAAGAGGGACGAGGACGGGCAGAAGTAATAGCTGGAGCAGGGGGGCAGAGGGGCAGTGGAGGCGGAGAAGAAGGAGCGGTCGAACGACAGGGGGCCCCCGCCACCGCCCCTGCAGATTGCGCCTTCCTCCCCTCGGACCTCTTCTTCCCACTTCCTTACCCTCCCCTGTGCAGCGCAAGCTCACCAAACATGCGTCTCGCCCTCCTCCTCCTCCTTTTCATCGTCCCGTCTTCCCTCCCCGCACGCACGTATCCTCCCGAGAGAGGACCTCGACGCAGCGGGCCCTGGCGCAGACAAGCAGACGGACTTCCATCCACAAGGCAATTGTTTCCCCTCCTCCTCCTCCTCCTCCATCCTCCTCCTCCTCCTCCTCCTCCTCCTCCTCCTCCTCCCCTCTTCGCCAACCCCCCGATGGAGGAATCTCGCAGTCCCTGGGGCTTTGGCTGCTCCGAGGCTCGCAACAATGGCGCGAGCGGGGTTCACTGCCTCGGTGACGACTTTGCCACGGTTCAGGCGCGCATATCCCACCATGTCCTGATATGTCGACTGGTACGCGCAATTCAGCTGCGCAATGAGCAAGTTGGAGAAGAACACGACTGTGGTGATGATATACAAGATGACGGCCACCAAGACCGCCTGCTCATTCACCATGTTCGCGTACTGTGAGGTGTCGTACATGTGGAACGTGATCTCAATCATAGACAATGCTGACGCGAGGATGCCCTCGAAGTCTTTGTGATTGTGATCGAGCGCGCTCACGGCGCAGCTAAAGCTGAGCATGACGGCGACCAGCCCGAACAGGAAGAGAGCGACCTCGGCAAGCACGCGGAATATGACCAGCACGAAGGCGGACACGCGGGTGCTGAACACCGACAGATCGATGGTGAGCGAGAAGTACATGATGGTTGCCAGGGCAGCCACCACGCTGTAGGACTTCCGCAAGCCCTTGGCCTGAGGACACACCTCCGTGAAGAGGCCGTTGTTCTCGAAGTCCTCGCCGGAGACAGAGAGATCAGAGGGGGGAGACGGAAGAGGAGTAGAGCTAGCCCGTATCATAATGATGCTCGGTAAAGATGCACGTGCCTTAGAGGGCGTCGTTCACGTTCTCGAACAAGGTTGGCCAGCGAAAGCGGCCAAGGATGGACCGAGGAGGCAAGGATGCAAGGGTACCCTTGGGAACATTGCCCGTCCAAACTATGCGGGTTGACTGTAGACGTGGCCTGAGGCGCGCCGATCCATCCGAGGAGAGGCCGGCGCACGCACTTTACACGAGGCAGGTCCTCGCCGCGATCGGGAGACGGAAGCGGAGGAGGAGGCGGAGGAGGAGGAGGTAGAGGAGGAGGTTGAGGAGAAGGAGGAGTGGGATGGGGAGACGAAGGTGAAGCCAGAGAAGGAGGATGTTGAGGCGGATGAGAGGGAGGAGGAGGCGGAGGAGTAGGAGGAGGAAGACAAAGAGGAAGGGACGGAGGAGGAAATGGAGATGGCGATGAAGACGAAGACGAAAACGGAGGATGAGGATGAGGATGAAGATGATGATGCTGCTGCTGATGATGATGATGAGGAGGAGGAGGAGGAGGAGGAGGAGGAGGAGGGGCAGGAGGAGCAGGAGGAGGCGGTGGAGGGCACAGACGATGGCGACGACGATGACGACGGGGACAAGGGATGATGCTCGAAGTCCTCGTCCCTGTGCGGGAAGCAGTGGAGGATCGGCTCCATCGCTATCATCGACACGAGACAGAGCGTCAGCATGCAGCTGCAGGCGTCCTGCCGGCCGGGGCGATGCCACCGGGGCGATGCCGCGCGGGGGGTCACCACCGTGGGGGGGGTCGCCGCGCCCTCGAGGCAACGTCGCTTCCTCGGGGAGGTGGGCCCCGAGAGCACTCCGCAGCCCCTCCGACAACGGCCCCGGGCGTCCAAGAGAACATCCTCGAGCGTCGGAGCCTGGCGCCTCGATCTCCAGGAGGAGCTGGTGGCCCCACCGGTGGCGACTGCCCCCGGCACTGCCCGAGCGAGGGCCTCTGGGCCTGTCGGCCCCATCCCTGGGTCTTTGTCCTCGCTGCGGGTCGATCTCTGGTGCCCCGAGGCTCGAGATCACCATAAAGGGCGAACAAGAACGCCAGCTGTGACTTCGCTTCGCGACGCCCGCGGGTCTGGGGGCAGTGAAGGCGGGGGGAGTAGAAGAAGAAACAACTGCATAAACATAAACTTTTGGCGCTCCGCGCGGATGTCTTGGATCCGCGCCGGACCCCCCTCCCTGGCGCGCGGAGGGCGCCAGGGGCGGCGCTGGAGGCGCCGCCGGGGGGACCCAGCGCGGATCCAAGAAATCCTCGCGGAGCGCCAGGAGTTTATGTTGAAAGCGTTTTTTCTGGTTCGAGGGAGGCACGGCGGCTGCCTGGGCTTCTCCAGAGCCTGCCCCGCCCCCCCCCTCAGCGGGCAGGGAGAGGCGGAACCGAATGTCCCCATTGCGCCAACACTGCACTCGAGTCGGGCGTGTCCTCCTACAGGCGGGTTCTGGCAGAAAAAATGGGAAAGAAGTCAACACATAATCAAGAACAGTCAAACCTAGTCGAACCATCGTCTCCAGGCTTATGATGTTCCAACCTGCTTTAGCCTTGATCGCCAAGAATAATTTCGAGCACCAGGGAAGTACCGAAATTTGAGGGGTTTCACGTGTCGGACCCTGGGAGGCGATACTGTTTCGACACTGTTTCGACACTTTTCTGGGTGCTCGAAATTATTTCTGGAATGTGGTTCTTAAGTACGATGGGGGCAACGTAACCCCAGGCTATTTGTTGACTATGTTTGAGGGTGCCTCCTGTGGAGGGAGATGCCCAGCCTAACAATACACGTATACACACGTGCTCCGATCCTGGCCCGGCTAAGGCCGGCGTCGGCTGTGCAACTGGTGCCCCCTGCATCTCTGAAGCGGGTCGACTGCATTGGCGCTGCGCGCCATGCACCTTGGTCCTTCGAGTTCTGCACGCAAGCGGAATGCGTGCGTGCGTACATGCGCGCATGCATGTATACACGCGCACGCACATGCACGTTCCGTAAAAATGTCTAGGTGCATACACTACACTAACATTGTTGTATGTGTATACAGCGTACATATGTATATATATATATATAAAAATGTATGTGTGTAAGGGTACGAACATGCATGTGCAACTCGTACGGGGCATCCTCGGGCATTTTCGCTGCATGCCACGAGACCCTCAACGACTGGGTCACAATGTGAAATGTCATGGGAGCAAAATCCATGAATGTTGGCATTCGGAAACATCGTTGGGGTGTTTTCGGGGCCGTCGTGGGCCGTTTTGGCGCCTTCATGGGCCGCCCTGGGGCCTTCTTGGGCCGTCTTGGAGAGCTTGGGCCCGCTGGAGCCCCCTTTGGACCCATCTTGGGCACTTCCGGGGACCTCCCATGGCCCTTTTGGGTCTGTGCTGGGAGCCCTTGGGGGGCCTCTTGGTTCCATTATGGGCTGTCTTGGGGCTCTCGTGGGCGATCGTGGGGCCCGGCTCGGCCGTCTTGAAGCTTTCTTGGGGGCCTTTTGGGGCGTCTGGAGGCGATCTCGGGGGCTTTGAAACCGTTTTGAAAGCTGATGAAATCCGAAAGGCGAATATGCTAAAATTGTAAGTTTTACGAAGGGAATGGGACGATTTTTGTGGTTTGAAGGCTCCTTGGAAAGCTTTTTGGGGTGCCTTGGGGGTCTTTATGTTGGCATTCGGAAACATCGTGGGGGTGTTTTCGGGGCCCTCGTGGGCCGTTTTGGCGCCTTCATGGGCCGTCCTGGGGCCTTCTTGGGCCGTCTTGGGGAGCTTGGGCCCGCTGGAGCCCCCTTTGGACCCATCTTGGGCACTTCCGGGGACCTCCCATGGCCCTTTTGGGTCTGTGCTGGGAGCCCTTGGGGGGCCTCTTGGTTCCATTATGGGCTGTCTTGGGGCTCTCGTGGGCGATCGTGGGGCCCATCTCGGCCGTCTTGAAGCTTTCTTGGGGGCCTTTGGGGCGTCTGGAGGCGATCTCGGGGGCTTTGAAGCCGTCTTGAAAGCTGATGAAATCCGACAGGCGCATATGCTAAACTTCTAAGATTTACGAACGGAATGGGTCGATTGTTGTGCTTTGAAGGCCCCTTGGAAAGCTTTTTGGGGTGCCTTGGGGGTCTTTTGGGCCGTCCTGACGCAATTGGAGTCCCTCTTGGAGCGCTCTTGTGCTGTCTGGGGCCTCCCTTGGGCATTTCTGGTGATTCCTCGGGTCGCTCTGGGTCTGCTGGCAAGGCGTTTGTGGAGACCCGGGAAGCCGGCCCCGGGCTTCTAAAAATATAGGAAGGGGCCCTGGGACACACAAACAAGTACACACAAATAACCGGATTCCCTATATTTTCAAATATTTTCGGGGTTTTCGTCTTCCCCCCCACTTCCCATATTTTCGGATATTTTCTGGGGAATCGACGATTCATTGTGTCTGTGTGTTCTTTCCCCTCCTGAATATATATTATATATAGATATATATATATATATATATATATATATATATATATATATATAATATAGATATATGTATATGTATATATATATACATCTAGCCCGATCCGGAAACCAACAATCCAAGAACGCTGCCATCTCTTGGGCGCATTTTTCACTTCCGCCGGTCTTCCGCCGGCGGGGCCGCCCTTGTTCTGCCTCCGCAGGCTTCTGTTGCCCTCCCGCCCAAAAGGAAAGGTCGTCCCCTCAAGTACAATGCACTCCATCGAGCCAAGTACAGTACAGTCTGGTCCCCGTTTGAGCGCCCCATACAGCACATAGAAGAAGAACAAACGCCATAAACATAAACTTTTGGCGCTCCGCGCTAATTTCTTGGATCTGCGCTGGGACCCCCCTCCCTGGCGCGCGGAGCGCGCCGAGGCCGGCGCCGGAGGCGCCGCTGGAGGGAGCCCCGGCGCAGATCCAAGAAATCCGCGCGGAACGCCCAAAATTTATGTTTATGGCGTTTGCTCGTCCTCGAGTGTATCCACCGAGCAACCATTCGGAACACTGAACGGCGGTGGACAAGCCTCCCTTTAGTAAACCTCCCCTTCGTGAAAACGGCCTGGGACCGAAACCGACGGACCCGGACCCGCAAACATGACGGCCGCGACGCCCTCTCGCGAACCGAACACGGCCAATTCCTCAATCGACGTGTCAGGGTAGGAGGTCTGTCCACCCTCGAAACAAGGAGCGCATAGGCTTTCCTGGCCACGGCGAGCCTCGGCCACGGGGACGCTCCCCGACCGGGATCGGCGGAGCGGACCGAGCACCAGAGCCCCGCCAGAGCCCAAGGCGGCCCTCATCTTCGCGTCTTTGCTGTATTGAAAGGGCTCAGAGGAGGAGGAGGAGGAGGAGGAGGAGGAGGAGGAGGAGGAGGAGGAGAGAGGGGGGGGAGGAGGGGGAGGAGGAGGAGGAGGGGGGAGGAGGAGGGAGGAGGAGGAGGAGGAGGAGAGGAGGAGGAGGAGGAGGAGAGGAGGAGGAGGAGGAGGAGGAGGAGGGAGGAGGAGGAGGAGGAGGAGGAGGAGGAGGAGGAGGAGGAGGAGGAGGAGGAGAGGAGGCGGAGGAGGAGGAGGAGGAGGAGGAGAGGAGGGGGAGGGGCAGGGATGCTGTAGACACAAATCCCAGGCCTCCCCGCATCTTCCGTATATTTTCTGGGTGTTCGTTCCCCAGCCACTCTCCCATAATTTCCCACATCTCCTCCTGGGGATCGACGATTCGTTGTGTCTCTGTGTGTGTGTGTTTTCCCCCTCCTGATGTATGTCGAGCTGGTGGGGTGACCTCCCGAACTGGTGACGACTGCGTCCCCCTGCCGGTCTGGCCTCCCGCGTGCGGCCCCCGCGTGGCCGCGCGCGTGCGGCAGCTGGGCCCTCTGGGGGCGCAGCGGCGCCACCAACACTGGGCCTCGTGCCTGCCGCCACCCGTCCCCTCCCCTCGTCTCCTCCCTCCTCCTCCTCCTCCTCCTCCGCCTCCTCCTCCTCCTCCGCCTCCTCCTCGTCCTCCTCCTCCTCCTCCTCCTCGTCCCTCCTCCTCCTCCTCCTCGTCCTCCTCCGCCTCCTCCTCCTTCCTCCTCCTCCTCCGCATTGTCCTCCTCCCCTCCTCCTCCTCCTCCCCCTCCTCCTCCTCCTCAGCCTCTTCGACTTCTCCACTCCATCCAGCCCTCCCTCTTTGATCTGGTCTCCCTTCTGTCTCCCTCTCTCTCTGGGCGGTGGGGGGGGGGCCAAGGAGGGACATGTCAGAAAAAGCACTCGAGGCCAGCGGGGCCAGGGCAGGGACGGCCCGCGGTGGGCCGAGGTGCCAAACCGAGGCGGGGGCCGCTGCCGAAAAACCCCAGTCAAGCCAGGTTCACATAGAGCGACGCGGACAGCCTAGACGGACGCCTAAGGTGGCCATCTGGCCTGCCAGAGCAGCTCGGGCGCAGCAGGCAAGCGAGGGCGGAGGCGGGCCAGCCGGCAGCAGCAGCCCACAGCAAGAGCGCAACACGCTGCGCCCGTTGAGCTCCCTGGCCGGGCTGCGCCTTCCGGGGCAGGGGGTGGGATGGGGATGGCAGGAGATGGGGCGGGGTGGGTGGGTTCGAGGCTGGCCTCTCTATCTCTCTCTCTCTCTCTCTCCCTCTATCTCCTTCTCTCTCCCTCTCTCTCTCCCTCCCTCCTCCTCTCCTCCTCGTCTCTCTCCCTCTCTCTCCATCTCTCTCTCTCTCTCTCTCGCCCTCTCTCTCTCTCTCGCTCACACGGCGGCACCGCCTGCCTGGAGCTGGCGTTGCGGGGGCCCGCAGCATCTTGCGGGGCTCCCCCCCCCTCTCCTTGACCTCCGACGTCTGTTATTTTGTTTCCGGTGCGTGCCCCTCCGCCCCTGGAGAGCCTCCGAGGAGGCGCGCGCGAGGGAGCGCCACAGCCGAGGCTCTGAGGTGCGCAATCGCGCGGGGGGGGTCATGGGAGAAGTTGCGCGGGCAGTGTGCGCGCATCCTTCCCGATCCCTCCTCCGCCTCCATCTCCTCTTGTTCTCTCCGTGTGTCCATTCTCTGCCCTCCTCAGCTATGGGTCCCGCCTCGGGCGCCCGCTGACCCTCCAGCTTTACGCCGGGGTTGTACCAATGGGGAGCCACTCCTGAACCCAGCTGAGGATCTATGATGACCCTCCTTCTCGCTCTCCCGCCTTTCTCCTCCTCCTCCCCTCTCCTGCTGCTCTTGCTCCTCCTCCTCCTCCTTGATCCTGGAAGCCCGTGAGGTACTCTGGCAGCGGGATGATCCCGAAGTGCACGAAGTTCCTGGAGCGGATGTCCTTCAACGTGTGCTTCGCGTGGTAATACATCCACTGGCCCAGGCTGAACATGTAGATAAAGCATCGGCAAGCGGTGATGGTGTAGCGAATGGGCTCGTTGTCTACGCCATTCTTGGTGTGCTTCATCGCAGAGGTGCCGCAGATGAACACCACCAGCGTGACGAGCAGCCACATCTTGCCCATTAAGAAGGTCCTGAAGGCGATGCGGCTCCAGACGACGTCTGTCACCTCAGCAGCCCCGCCTCCTGATCCGAGCGGGTGCGCGGCCCGAGCCCAGCACCGATCCTGTCACACGGCCCGACCTACCCCGAAGCGCGGAACACCGAGCCAAACCAGCGTCTTGCACACGATCGCCGCTTCGACCATCCAAGCCTCGCGAGCCCCACCACCCGGCGGACTGGGAGAGGGGAGACTCTCACCTGCTGCGGCGGCCCGCCAGCGGCTCAACACCCTCGGCCTGCACGGCGTGGCGTGGGCAGGCCCTGTGCAAACGCAGCAGGGGCCCCGATCGATCGCCCGATCCTGATCGACTGGCAGAGGCCGGCCAAGTCGAGCCGTCCGGCCAGCCGCTGCGCGTCGGGGCCTCAGGCAACTGCAGAGGGGAGCCACCACTGATCTTGGGTCGGACACGCTCTCCGACGGGCGGATTTTTGGGAAGACACCCTCGGGATGATCAGAACATCACCACCCATCGTCAGAACTGGTCGAAGAGTCGTCTCGAGACTATGCCTTCGACCCTTCTTGGGTGCTCCTCGCTCCGCGGGGCTCGTGCACGGCTCGAGACACCAACCGGGCGGGCCGCCGCCCCTGCCTCGAGGAGCCGCCACCGCCCCCTTCAGGCGGTGGGCCTCCCGATCACGCTCCGGAGGGCCTCTCTCAACACGAGCCCGAGCGCCGGCCAACACGGGCCTCCTCCACCCTCGACCCCGGAACCTCGATCCCCGGGGGAGACGCCACTGACCTCGAGGAGGGTGCGCTCTCCTCGAGGAGAGCGTCGCTTCCTCGAGGAGAGCGCCACTGCGTTGAGCCGGTGGGCCCCCCGAGCACGCTCCGGGGCCTCTCCCAACGCGCGCCAGAGGGGCCCAATAAAACACCTCTCATCGACCTTCGGCCCTGGAGCCTCGGTCTCCAGGATGAAGTCGGGCATGTGCCTCTACAGCCGGGGAACTCAAAAACGGTGAAACAAATGATGTGAGGACGACTTTCTGACCATGTCTGACTTTTGTTGTATTATTTTCTGTGCTTCCTCCAAAATCGGCCCGTAGGAGGACGTGCCCGACCCAACTCCAGGAGGAACCGGTGACCCCTTTGGTGGTGACCCCCCCATTTGGCACTGCCCGAGGGTCGGGGTGCTCTAGGTGCGTCTCCATTGAGATCACCGGGTGGCACACGATCTTCGGGTCGCCGTTGTCGGTCACCCACTCGATGGCCTTCGAGAAAGTTCCGTCGCTGTCGGTCAGCAGGTGTTTCACGTAGTAGTTCACCCGCCTCGGGCCGGGGAAGGGGGCGGGGGGGGGTTTGGAGCGGCGGCAGCGCGAGAAAGGGGGCGACGGGGGAGGACGGGGGAAGAGGATGGAGGAGGGTCGGAAGAAAAAGCTGCACAAGCAGAAACTTTCGACGGTCCGCGCGGATTTCTTGGATCTGCGCTGGAGCCCCCTCCCTGGCGCGCGGAGCGCGCCAGGAGCGGCGCCGCAGATCCAAGAAATCCGCGCGCGGCTCCGAAAGTGTATGTTTATGCAATGATTTCTTCTTCGAAGGGCGGAGGAGGGTGGAGGATGAGGAGGCGGAGGGGATGGGGTAGGCGCGGTGGGTGGGTGGGTGGGGCGGGCACCACTCCACCCAAACGCCAAGCAGCGGAAGGCTTCGCTTCCCCTCCTCCGGGGGAGAGGCCGCCGTCTCGGGTCGGGGTCCCTTCCAGCACTCCGGGTTCCGCGCTGGGCCGCCTTCTGCTGGGACAGCTGCCATGCGCGCCGCCCCCGCTGGTGCAGTATCTGGCGTCCGCGATGCGCCACGAGATTACCCCGTCGAGCGCGCTGGTGCCCTCCACCGCTCGACGAGGTCCAGCCGCAGCCGCACTCGTCGCAGTCCCTGCGCTGTGATTTGCGCGTCTTGGCTACGCTGCTCGCGCTCGCAAGCCGCCGTGCAAGATCGCTGCCGCGGCCTGGGCCGCCGCCACCGTCCAACGGCACCATGCTCGCCATCCTTATTGACCTCTTGTTGTGGCAGAGCGTCTACCGGAGGCCGCGCCACTGGAGCAGCCGCGCC